AACTCATGACATAATGTTTTCCAAATAATCCAATGCATGGTGTTACAAAAAGCATCAGTAAAAGATGGGTAAAAGTTACATCTGAAATACAAGACAGACCAATAGATTTTAATGTAACAGTGTAAGAAAACTTCACTCATATGGCTTCAGGTTCTACATTGCAACTAATCTTTAAGAAATTACCTCTTGTGGAATTACGGTGCAGTATCACTTAATCTCCATAATTATCCTGCAAAGCCTATGAAAACACACATACCTTCCTCCTTCAACTGCCTGTCTGTGTGAAGGTGGATATTCTTCACACACTTAGACCAAAACATGTATCACAATAGACTGACTGCAGAAATAGATGAGAATTCAGTTGTCTTAAGTCAAACATTAAGACCTGAAAAAAAGGTTCAACATGGCCATTCTTCTCACTATGTATTTTTGGTTTTGAAAAATGCCCTTATTTTATAGGTGCCAATATAAAGATAGCTCTCATATTAACTATAGAAAAAGGAAGAACTCCAATGCTGTCTTTTACCAAACCTAAATGAAAAGCACAGAAAACAGTGTTTTCTAGTGCTTGAAAGTCCACAAGTGACACACAATTTCCAAAGAACCCTCTGAGAAAAAAAGAAAACATTTACTGAATACCTATTATACCCCATGGACTGTGCTCAGTGCTTTCACATAAAACCTTTTCATCAAATTTGAGACCAGCACTAAGGCTGAAAGTCAAATGGAGTAAATATGGTATATACAAAAAGAACAGACTCTTGACACACCTGAATTAAAATCATTCCCTTGAATGTTATCTTATTAAATCAAAAGCACAAGAGTTTCTTCTTTAAAATTTCTTCTTTAAAATAAATTCAATATTTATAAGATTGAGAGAAATGTGAATACAGTTAAAAGCATATACAGTGGGTGCTTAAAAGGTTCCCTTCAGTCATACTTCTTTCTTCTGTTCCAAAACTAAAACAGCGAGTAAGTACCAAAATCAGCGATCAAGGTTAAATTTGATGACATGCTTTTGTTTCATTCATCACTACAGGCCTCAAATAGATGAATGCTGCTCTAGAAAACATTTAAAAATATCTTAAGGACCCACAACCACTATCAGGTATTAGAAATCAATGTTTAAAAACTACCTATGCATTTTTTTTTCTAAAATAGCTTCATTCTTTAAAATCTAAATCACTCCTACAATTCTTCCCAATCTTGTATATTCATTTGACATACTTAGTGACTATGAAATATAAGGGCATCTTGGTATCTCCAAGAAAACTATCAATGAAGCAATTCTCAAACTGGCTACCTTGTAAACCAGCAAAGTTGGCAGGAAGCACCAAAACAATCATTTAATTCCTAACTATATTTCTATCAGATATTTCATACTGTCACATGCTTGGACTATTATGTGAAAAATTAGACAGTAGTTATTTTAAGTATAGTAAATATGTTCCAAGATTTGTGGTGAGAGAGATCAGTCTCTAAAAGTTAACAAGACTTAATACCTTAACAATGCTTTTCACTCTGTACACTTTAACAAATCACCAAGGCTCTTTCAAAACAACAAAAGAGCTGATCAATTTATTAAACTCTTGCCAATCAAGTACCTTTTTTAAAAAAGTTCAAGCTGACTTCATATTTTGTGTTTGTGTGGATAATCACAAGTTTCTAATTACGTAGCATTTTAATATTCTTTTATATTTAGGGTAAGTTGTTTTCTTAAAGTTGTGTTTTTAAAAGATCTAGTTATATTTTATGCTCTATTTGAACCCAGACACTCAGAACTTTCATAAAAAGTATGCAGGTTTATTAGGAAATCTACCAGAAAATTCCCCTCTACTTTAAAAAACATGAACTATATGAGCTTAATTTACTTTATCCTGACAAATTTTTTATTTCAAGTTTGGTCACTACCCATTTCCTGTGTTGCACTGCATACCCTCTTTTCTATGGTTACTATTCTCAAACTAAGACTGGGGATCTTCAACCACACTGTAAGAAGCAGCCATGCCATGGTGGATATCATCTGATAGTTCCTGAAAATTATTTTAAATGGGTACTCAACCCCATATGCCTTCTTTGATGCTTTTTGTCTTTCAAGACACTTAACATGACCACATTTTAGAGGAGCCAGAATGGTAGGAACAAATATCAGATTGAAATCTATGAACTTTCAACTCCAACACTCAGAAATTAAAACTTTAAAAGGATCACTAATGTGGTGTGTCTAAACTGCCCTTCAATGAGCAACTACATGTCTCTGTATTAAAAACTTTTTCTATTTTGTTCAATGTAACAAGTTATACAAGCACAGAGAAAAAACAGCCACTGAAAATAAGGGAGTAAGAGAATCAATTATACTGAATCCTATTAAATCCCTTCCCTCCCCCCAAACAGAAAAGCTGAAGGTGATAAAACGCTCAGAGAATTGCCAGGCATCTTCCTAACATTACCTATTAATCTTCACAACACTCATGAAGCAGATGTCAAGTACCTCTAGTTTTACAGATGAAAGAACCATAAGACTAAGCGATTTCCCCCAAGGTCATACACAAAGTTAGAGATCAAATTAAACTAAACTCTAGGACTTTGTACTCTTCATCATTTCTAATCAAATAAACTGTTAGATCAAAATATGCTACAATTACCTCTCCCTAAATGCTATACTCCGTACATGGGCTGTTCCAGTAAGGTAGCCACTAGCCACATGTGGCTATCAAGCACTTGAAATGCAGCTAGTCCAACTGGAGGTATGCCATAACTGTAAAATACAAACTGGATTTTGAACGTATGAAAGGAATAATATGAAACGTCTCAATTATTTTACACAAATTAGATGTTGTAATGGTATTTTGGATGTACTGGATTAAGTTAAATTCACTGGACAGCACTGGCCCATAATTCTTTCCAAAGACTTCCCATGAAATAGATGCCATCACAAGATCCCAGTCAAAAAGCAATTATTTTCTTAGAATTTGCTGTATTCTACATACATTATGTAATGCAATGTAGTAACCATATCTAAAGGGTGATAAGTGTTTAGAGAGATGCAGCATATATGTAAGTAACAAATACACAAAATAGACCACCGTAGTGTTCTCTAAACATAAAAAAGAATGTTTCTATCTCATTACAAGTATATGAGATTTTCAGTAAGCCACAGTGTGGACAAAGTATGACTTTCCATTAGAGTCATGTTATTTCCTTAAGTGGAAAAGTGAAAATATTCCTACCCCTAATGTATGCAAAAGGATATTAAAGTCACCAGAGGACAACCATAAGGCACTATGAATTTCTAAACAAACAAACAAACAAACACCCTCGTTAATGTCAATGTATACTTGTTTTTTTAAAGTCACACATCACAATCTTCTTCTAATACAGCCTCAGCACTTAATCTGATTTTGACTAAAGTGCTAAAAGATATGAGGTAGGACGAAACATCAATTTAAAAAATAAGGATAACTTCAGAAAGTCTGACAATTCCACCAAAGGTTGAACGTCAGTTTCCATATGATCTAGCAATTCTATTCCTAGGCATATAGCCAAGAGAAATAAAACATACGTCCACACAAACATGTTCTTAGCAGTATTATGTAAAATAGCTAAAAAAGTGGAAACAATGAAAATGTTCATTAACTGATGAACGGATAAAGTGTGGTATATCCATGAGCTGGAGGATCATTAGGTCATAAGGAGAAATGAAACACTGATACATTCTTGTTACTACATGGATAAACCTTGAAAACATTACACTATGTGAAGGAAGTCAGTTACAAAAGAGCACAAATTGTACAATTCCATTTATATGGAATGTCCAGGATAGGCAAATCTAAGACGACAAAAAACTGGTTGCCTGGGGCTGGGGTAGTTGGGAATTCGAGAGTGACTGTTAATGAGTACAGGTTTCTTTTTGGCGTGGTGAAAATGTTCTAAGATTGATTGTGGTGATGGCTGCAAAACTGTGAATACACTAAAAGCCACTTTAAGTGGGTGAATTGTATGCCATGTGAATTACATCTCAATGAAGCTGCTAGAAAAATGAAGCCAGAAATGTAGAGGAAAAAAGGGTTACAGGGATCTGTCAAGCACCTAATTGCTCTTTTTCTGGATTCTGTAATTTTGTGGTACTTATCAGTTTTTAAGTTTTATCATTTGTGATTTTTTTCTCATTCTAAGTATTCATATTAGTAAAAAACATTTTCACCACCACAAGTAAATTTACTGAAAAATCATTATTTAAGAAGCTCATTTTTATAGCATGCGAATTATCTCAATAAAGATGTGACATCTTTGCATTAAAAAAGGGATCACAACGGTAATATGTTAACCTTAAAAGAACCACAGAATTAACAGCCCTGGACACTTAGTACTCCCTCAAATTATGAAACCCACTAAAACGCATAAACTACTTTAAAGATAATATTAACAGCTTTGTAAAAAGCCCAAAAAATATTTCAGTCAAGCAAACGCTCAAGTTCAGAAATGTCATGGGAAGTTGAAGATTTCATTACGAAAACATACCGAGGAACAACATAAAAAATACTGCTTGACCACTTTCCCTAAAAGCTAAATTCGTGATTAAGATGCAGAGGGGAAGTATTAAAATAAATCTATTTATCTAAACTATTAAAGCTGAAGGGAAGAAGTCTTCTATCAAAAATCTCAGCGGGGTGTGTGGGTATGCGTGTGTGAATGCATGTATTTAAACCATACGCCCCATGTAGACAATCTGGGGAGCAGCTGTATCTAAGACAATGATTTTTTTTTTTCTTTTTTAAATAATCAAACGTGATGGTGCCATTCCCTAGCCCACCCCATCCCCCACTACCACCACCAGCAGGTGGAGGGAAAGGATACTGTAGACTAGAGGATGACAGCTTTGTATAACCCTTTGGACTTTATATGTAAGAATGCAGCTGGTGGTCTCCTCTCAGGAGGGGGTAAAGAGATTTGTGGACAAGCTGAAATAAGGGGTATCCTTTGCCTGGAAGAGGGCACACCGTGAGCCACATCTTGAATCAGCTATATCCAGAGTAAAACACAGGCCGCTGGAAGGCACTGTTAGCATCACCAGGATGGCCTCTCACGCCGGGGGTGTTTTTTTCAACGGAGAAGTTGTCCTGTAGTTTGGATATTGGGGGGAGGCAGGGGTAAAGCGGGAGTCGGGAAGACCAGAAAAAATGCCTTTAAGTGGAGACGCCTCAGGCCTCGCTGAGGAAGTTCAGAGCCCCACTCGGTCGCCACACGCTCACCCTCCCACCCCCACCGCCCTCCTTCCCGCAGCGCCAGACGTCGGTGCCCGAGCGAGAGCCGGAATCTCCGCCGCTGCCAGGCAGGGCCGCGGCCCGGGCCGGGCAGCGCCGACCGCACACGCACGCCTCCTCCGCACGCGCCGCGCCCGGCCTCCCCGCCGCGCGGCCCGACCCCTCGCACCCGCGCCGGGCCGGCTCTGCCGGGCAGGCCTAGGCCGCGCCGGCCGTACCCGGGCACCTCGCTCCCCGGCGGAGGCGGAGCAGGCCCGACATAAACTTCCCGGCGCGCTAGCAGAGGCGTCACGGACGGGCCGGCCCCCAGCGCCATTCCCCGAGGCCCGGAGGCGGCTCCCGCCCCTACTCCCCACACTCGGGGTCCCGGCGGAGACCGGCCCCAGGCCCAAGGCCCCCACCCCTCCGGCGTCGTCCAGCAGTTTACCTCCAAGTCGCGGCCTTTGTTCTTGAAATTCTTGAGCCGTTGGTTGTCCAGTTTCTCGTTGTCCGCCATGGCCGGGCCGGTGACTCCTTCCCCCGCCCGGGCCCCGCGGGATCCGCCCCAACCACCGCGCCGCACCGACACTCCCAGGAACCGGGTCGCCGCCTGAGCTGCTGTGCTCGCCGCGCCGCCGCTTCCTTCCTCCTCTCACCTGCCTCCGCCGCGGCCTTCTCCTCTCCCCGCCCGCCCCCCCGCCCTAACCCCAGCGCGACTGCAGCTCCGGCAAAGACAACTGTGGGGCCGGGCGGCGGCAACGGCGGCGGAATGTGCTGCCGGCTGAGAGGGGGAGGCAGCCTCGATCTGAGGGCCCCGGAGCTGCGGCCACGCCCATCGCCTCCAGCCCAGCTCGCCCATTGGCCAACCAGGCTCCGGTGCGTTCGACCAATGGGAAGGGGCGATGGAGAGCCGGGGCGGAAAGAGCGAACGGAAAGGGGAAGCGAACGACGCTGGGAGGAGCCGGCTCGGGGCCGGGAGGGGTGCGGCTGGGGTAGACAGGGAAGGACCACGTGCCTTCGGAGAGAGGGGGAAGGAAGCGACAGAGAAGTACACTTAAGGGGAAACCAGCAAGGGGAAGGAGAGGCCGGGGAACGCTGCAGGGCGAGTTGTTTTGCATCACTCGTCCGGGAAGCCCTAGATGCAGGGGTCCAGGGTCGAGACTGCGTTAAAGTAACGTTCTTCTCTCCCCGGGCGCGCCCTGTCTTCCTGGGCATTCTTTGCGCTCTCTGTTCGCTTTGCAGAGAGATCTGAGCTTCGCTCTTTCCCAGGTCGGACGCTCGCAGCTCCGTTCCCGGGCTGGGGCTCCCTGCCGTCCAGGGTCGAGTCTGGGGGCCAGGACCTGCAGGGATGACGTGAGTTGAGGAGGCTCAGCGGAAAGCGACAGGAACGGTGGGTGGAAAAGGAAAGGGCCCAGTAGACGTATCTGATTTATCTTCTGTGACTAAGCGCCCGCAACAGGTAGGAATTTAGGCAGAGCTGGTGATCCTTGGACAATAGCACTTCCTAGGTAATTCGTCTTAGAAAGTTAAAGAAGCTGCTTGACCACAAAGTATGAACTTCTGGAGGGCGGAGCCCGTGGCAGCTGACAGGGAATATTGTCTGTTGAGAAAGGAAATGAATTCCAGGGATACCAGGGACAACATTACCAGAGGCAGAAATGACACGAGATACAAAAGAACGTATTCAAAAATTTCACAAAACAGAAATGGAAAATTATTTTAAAATATATTGAAATATCAACGAATAACATCTCAAATGTCCAGGGATATGTAAAGCAGCAACTCTGGTCGGAAGCAAGGAATCGAGGCGTTGGGTGTGTTTAAACTTGGCGAGGCAGGGAGAAGAGACCCTGATACAAACTCCTTCAGAATCGTTGACTCCCGGTCCTTTCTAGTATATTTTTTGAGCAGAACAACGTGCAGAGATAAATGTTTAAAATACATATGTTTCTTAGGGAAACACTTTTAAAGCCAACAGAGGGGAATTTTTTTTTTAAGTTAAAATGGAAGAAGTCAGTGGGTTTAACAGATGTGAACAACTGAGTTTCCTTTGGGGGGGAGGTAATGAAAAGAGCCGGAGTGCTTTAGGAATCACTTTGGAGAGGATATTGTAGTGGGGGAAAGGAAGGTAAAAACTTAGGAAGCAGAGTAGTACCTTTAAAGTCGTCAGTACTTTATAGACCATCAACTGGGCTATGGACAACAGAAGCTGTGCCTGGGAATAACTCACACTGAAGGTTAACTTGAATATAAATTTAGAACAGATCTTAAATACAAATGATGATGTTCATTATAAAATGTTATTCCTCAAAGAGTCATTTAATTGAAGTAACATTGTATTTGCATACCAGAGCACTGATGTTTTTCAAAATGTGTTTAGGATAAGAAAATTCACTTGAAAAGCTGGAGTATGTGTGTATTTTGTGCCATCATGGATTTTATCATAAGCAGTGTTCAAGAAAACAAATTACCAGCGAATTCCCACCCTATGAATAAAAGTTACCTTGTCAATGTATGAATAGATGAACATTTTGTTACTTCTTGGAATACATGTCATAGTAGCTTTCATGATGAAGTTTATAGAAGTGTCCGTTACATGTCTTCGTGTCTCCAGCTACAACTGAGTGTCTCTGATGATTAAACAACAACCCGAGTTTTCTCTCTGCAGAAGACTCCTAAAAAAGGGTTGCAATTAGTTACCAACTCAGAAAGATGCAATACAAATAGGAAATAACCGCAATTTATGATTTTATTTGTTTATCTAAAATCTGTCTTCCTCCCTAGACAGTAAGCTCTCTGAAGTTAAGAAGCATAGTTGTTTTGTTCACTACTGTATACCCAGCACCTAATAGTACTTGGCACATAAGTACTCAGGAACTATTTGTCAAATGCAAGAACGTATGCCCCGAAAGTAGGAGTCAGGAAAACCAGAAAAAATGCCTTTAAGTATTACAGAAATGCCACAGGCCTCCACTTAAATTGAAAAACAAGCTAACACCTCTTGATAAAAATGTGGATTGAGATCAATAAGCAGCTTCTCCACTCCTTCTGGAATCTCCACCTGGTTCAGCCTGCCTGCCTCCGCCATGTCCATCAGGGTGACCCAGAAGTCCTATAAGGTGTCCACCTTTGGCCCAGGCTTTCAGCAGCCGCCTCTATATGAGTGGGTCCAGTGCCTGCACCAGCTCCTCAAACTTCTCTCCCTCGTGGGGAGCAGAAGCTTCTGGGGTGGCCTGGGCAGAGGCTATGGTGGGGCCAGCAGCATGGGAGGTATCACCACCATCACGGTCAACCAGAGCTTGCTGAGCCCCCTTAACCCTGAGGTGGACTCCAACATCCAGGCTGTCCACACCCAGGAGGAGGAGCAGATCAAGACCCACAATTTTGCCTCCTTCATAGACAAAGTACGGTTCCTGGAGCAGCAGAACAAGATGCTGGAGACCAAGTGGAGCCTTCTGCAGCAGCAGAAGATGGCTGGAAGCAGCGTGGACAACATGTTCGGGAACTGTATCAACAATCTTCGGCAGCAGCTGGAGTCAGGAGAAGTTGAAGCTGGAAGCGGAGCTTGGCAACATGCAGGGGCTGGTGTAGGACTTCAGGAACAAGTATGAGGATGAGATCCATAGGTGTACAGAGATGGAGAATGAATTTGTCCTCATCAAGAAGGATGTAGATGAAACTTACATGAACAAGGTAGAGCTGGAGTCTCATCTGGAAGGGCCGACTGTATGAAGTGGCGATCCAGGAGCTGCAGTCCCAAATCTCCAACATGTCTGTGGTGCTATCCGTGGACAACAGCTGCTCCCTGGACATGGACAGCATCGTTGTTGAGGTCAAGACGCAGCACGAGGAGGTTGCCAACCGCAGTTGGGCTGAGGCTGAGAGCACGTACCAGATCAAGTATTTGGAGCTACAGATGCTGGCTAGGAGGCACGGGGATGACCTGTGGCATACAAAGACTGAGATCTCCAAGATGAACCAGAATATCAGCCAGCTCTGGGCTGAGATTGAGGGCCTCAAAGGCCAGAGGGCTTCCCTGGAGGCCGCTGTCACAGATGCTGAGCAGCGTGGGGAGCTGGCCATTAAGGATGTCAATGCTAAACTGTCCGAGCTGGAGGCCACACTGCAGCGCATGAGTACCAGGAGCTGAGGAACGTCAACTTGGCCCTGGACATGGAGATCGCCACCTACAGAAAGCTGCTGGAGGGCTAGGAGAGCTGGCTGGAGTCTGGGATGCAGAACATAGGTATCCATACGAAGACAACCAGCGGCTATGCAGGTGGTCTGAACTTGGCCTATATGGGCCTCACAAGCCCTGGCCTTAGCTATGGCCTGAGCTCCTGCTTTGGCTCTGGCACAGGCTCCAGCTCCTTCAGCTGCACCAGCTCCACCAGGGCCGTGGTTGTGAAGAAGATAGAGACCCGCAATGGGAAGCTGGTGTCCAAGTCCTCTGACTTCCTGCCCAAGTGAACAACTGTGGCAGCCCCTCCTAGTCTGTTCCTCCTGTGACTGCCACAGACTCCGGGAGGGAGGCTGCTGTGTGGTGGAGCACAGAGAACAGGAGACCCCCCTGAGGCTCAGCCCACCTGCAGGGGAGTTTACTGCCTGGTGATCCAAAACACACACACACACACACACACACACAAAATTGTAGATTGAGTCATTATTGCTTCTAGTTTACTGAGTTCCTTCTATTAATATAAATTCTTGATTTGGTATCATGCTCATTCTGGGGTGAAAAGTTTAGGGAATAAATCAGACATTTCAGGGAAAAAACCCCTGCGTATTTAAAAGTAGTTGTGACACACTTTGTTAAACAATTATCCTTAATTATAATTCTTAGGTAGTCTATTGGCTTAAATTTATTACTTGAAATTGTCACTACTCGTTTGCCAAGTTTATATGTTTAGTGTCTGTACTTCCGATTCTTCCCAGATAGAAGATACATAATTTATCAAATGGGCAAAGAAGTCCTTCAGGGAGTTGGTAATAGCTCTACATGCTGATTGGTAATTGAATTAGCAAGATATAGTAGATCTAACTGATTAGGAGGTTTCAATTTTACTTGCTGGACTAAAGAAGTAAAATGCAGAATTATTAATAACCATTTCAATATTATCTTAATTTGGGATGTGATAAATTATCACAAACTGAGTGGCTTAAACAACAAATACTTCTCACAGTTAGGGAGGACGTGAAGTCCATTATTAAGGCAGATCTGGTATGTGGTGAGAATTCACTTCCCGGTTTGGAGATGGCTATCTACTTATTGTATCCTTGTATGTTGGATAGTAGCCAGGAAACAAGCTCTCATTTCTCTTATACGGGCACTAATCCCATTCATGAGGGCCTCACCCTCATGACCTAATTACTTCCCTCAAACCTCACCCTTAACGCCATCACATGGGGGTTAAGATTTCAACATAAATTTTGGGGGAACACAAACATTTAGTTCATGACTAACGCAGACTATTTAACAAAGACACTTTTTTGTGTATATGAAGTATAGTTGTTATAACCAAACACCAGAAAACCTATTCTGTATCTGAGACCTGTTTTGCAATAGGCTATTTGGTGTTAGGTAATGATCTTCTGACTTGTAATCACTCTTGGTATTGGGAAAGTCTAAAATATTATGGAGATACTTGCTTTCAGTGTGTCATGAAATTCTCTGAGTCACTTTCTGAATAGAGAAACTCTGTTCTGCAACAGACATTTGTGAAAGGATTTGTGAAGACTTATACAGGATTTTGGTTGATCAAATGCAATCTCAAAAATAATTATAATTGTGAGTTAAGCAGTTTAGACTCTTCTCATGATACATGCATTAAACTGAAGATTATAGAATCTTTCTTTGTAATATGGATCCTATGGTTCTCTGTTACTGTTTGGGGGAATACCTGAGATTATGTTTGATTTCCGGAGCAAAAGGCTGGATAGTTAGTGTTGGCTGAAAAGAGAAGGAATTTTTTTTTTTTTTTAAATTTTGAAACAGGGCTTCGCTCTGTTTCCCAGGCTGGAGTGCAGTGATCTCGGCTCACTGCAACCTCTGCCTCCTGGGTTCAAGCAATTCTCCTGCCTCAGTCTCCTAAGTAGCTGGGATTACAGGCACTCACCACCACACCCAGCTAATTTTTGTATTTTTAGTAGAGACGGGGTTTCACCATGTTGGTCAGGCTGGTCTCAAACTCCTGACCTTGTGATCTACCCGCCTTGGCCTCCCAAAGTGCTAGGATTACAGGCGTGGTACTGTGCCTGGCCTCAGGAATTTTATATGTTGCTAAATCTTACTAAAATATAAATGATTTTGTTACGGTTGGACTCCTGCTTTTTTGAGAGAAAAATATTAAGACTTTGGTAATACACCTTTATTTTCTCTGGAAAACAAAGTTGATCAGGTAGTAGAAACTTCATTCATTCATTTTCATTGCCAGACTTTTCTGGTTTATAACTTGGGGAGCCTGGAGAAACAATTATTACCAAATATTGAGCACCTACCATATTCTAGGTCTAGGCGTTTTATCTATGTAAAGTGTTTTAAAATTATTATTGTTATTTCTATTTCTGCTATTATAGGCAGATAATTTTGACTGAAGCCCCTGGTAAAAGATGATGAATTAAAAGCCTAGCCATTGATGTTGTTATTATTACTATTTTTGAGACAGAGTCTCCTTCTGTTGCCCAGGCTGGAGTGCAGTGGGGTGATCTCCGCTTACTGCAATCTCCGCCTCCCAAGTTCAAGCGATTCTCTTGCTTCGGCCTCTGAGTAGCTGGGGTTACAGGCGCCTGCCACCATGCCCGGTTAACTTTTTTGTATTTTTAGTGGAGACATGGTTTCACTGTGTTGGCCAGGCTAGTTTCAAACTCCTGACCTCAAGTGACCCACCTGCATTGGCCTCCCAAAGTGCTAGGATTACAGGCGTGAGCCACTGCACCTGACCATTGATGTTAACTTGATTGAGAGGGATGCATCTAGTTTTTCTTTAGCTTAGTTTTTTTAAAAAAACAAACAAACAAAACAAAACAAAACACTTAGTTTTAACTATTTCATTGGAGAAAAACAATTACAGGCCCAGCCTCCAGGCCCAATAGTTCTCATTTCAGGCAAGCTCCCTACCCCTATCTTTTTTTGTTGTTTAAACTTTTTATTTTAAACTAATTACAGATTCACAGGAGTAACAAAAAAATGTACAAGGAGATCCCATATGTCCTTTACCGAGTCTCTCCCAATGGTATCATCTTGTATAACTGTAGTACACTATCAAAACAATGAAATTGGCATTGATATAATCCACAGAGGTTATTCAGAGGGGAGGCAAGACATTAGAATGTAAAGAATACATGGAAGTATGAGGCAATATCCATGTATTGGAACCTTTTATAACCTTACACTTTACAGGAAAAAATTCTATAATGACAGTGATGACAGTTGTTACCAAATATGCAGTACGTACTGTATTCTAGGTTTAGGTATTTTATCTACGTATTTTATTATAGTTATTTGTATGTCTTTTATATTTCTGCCATTATAGGCAGGTAATAGTTAATGAGCACTTATGTGGCAGTCAGTCTTCTTTTTTTTGAGACGGAGTTTCGCTCTGTTGCCTAGGCTTGAGTGCAGTGGCGCAATTTCACTGCAACCTCCGCCTCCTGGGTTCAAGTGATTCACCTCTTGCCTCAGCCTCCCGAGTAGGCGCGAGCTGCCACACCCAGCTAATTTTTGTATTTTAGTAGAGACGGGGTTTCACCATGTTGGCCAGGCTGGTCTTGAACTCCTGATCTCAAATGATCCACCTGCCTCGGCTTCCCACAGTTTTGGGATTACAGGCGTGGGCCACTGTGCCTGGCCTGGCAGGCATAAAAAGCATGTGTAACCCCAGCTATTCGAGAGGCTGAGGCAGAAGGAGAATCACTTGAACCCGAGGGGCGGAGGTTGCAGTGAGCCGAGATCGCGCCACTGCACTTCAGCCTGGGCAACAGAGAAAGACTCTGTCTCAAAAAAAAAAAAAAGAAAGAAAGAAAGAAAGAAAAAGAGACTGCCATCTAAGTGCTCAATAACTATTACCTGCCTATAATAGCAGAAATACAAAAGGAATACAAGTAATAATAATAAAATACTTTATATAGATAATGTATGTATGCAATATATGTATGTTAACTCATTGAATCCTCACCACCACCCTATGAGTTAAGTATATTCACTTTACAGATGATAAAATGAAGAACAGAGAAGTTTGGTAATTTTCCCAAGATCACACAATAGCTGGCATTTGAACTGGGCATGACACCAGAGCTAGCACTCCTAATTACCATGGAGGTACATAAACTTCACTGTGCATAGCAACTTTTAAAGGCAGGCATTTCCATTTTCTGTATGAGGAACCTGAGGTTAAAAGAAGCAATTTGCTCAAGACCCTGCACAACTGGCAGGTGCTAGAACCCTAGTTGGATTCCAGCCCTGCCTAGCTGTAAACCCCTGTGATTTCTAGTTGACCATTCTAGATAGACCCCTGGCCTATCACACTGATCTCAGCTGAATCTCTGAAGAGGTCGCGTTCTGAAATGCCCAAGGGAATGGTTTGCAAACTTCAGAATGCATTAGAATCACCTGGAAGGTTAAAAACCAGATTGGTGGCCTCTATCCCCAGGGTTTCAGTAAATTTGGGATAGCCTTTGAAGATGTGAATTTCTAACAAGAGCTCAGATGATGCTAATGATGTTTCAGTTCCTAGAATACACTTTGACAACCACTAAATCTGGCCCAACAGAGCTCATTATAAGGTGGTTTCACCATTAAGATAAGAACAGACTTAAGGGTTAATTAGGCATCACAGTAATAGATCATATATCATGCAACACTTCAAAGTACTGCATGTCAGCTGGGCATGGTGGCTCACAACTGTAATCCCAGCACTTTGGGAGGCCGAGGCGGGTGGGTCGCTTGGGCCCAGGAGTTTGGGACCAGCCTGGGCAACATGGTGAAATCCTGTCTCTACAAAACAAAAAACAAAAAACAGAAAAAATTAGCCAGGCATGGTGGCATGCGCCTGTAGTCCTAGCTACTCGGGAGGCTGAGGTGGGAGGATCAGCTGCAGTGAGCCATGATCGCACCACTGCACTCGAGCCTGGGTGACAGGAGTGAGACCCTGTGTTAAAAAAAAAAAAAAAAAGGAATGAGTGTGTAAATTTATTGTTATAGATTTCTTACTTGAAAAAATGTACCAAATAATTAATATTTCAAGGACAACATTGAACAAGCCAGTAATACCCAGTTCCATATTACTTTCTGAATAGAGGTATGTACTACTTTCCTGGGTTTCTCTCTGCTTCTGGTTTTCCTCTTGAATTTTCTCAAATACTGTTTTGTTTATGGCATTCTTCACCAAGACTGGCTCCATTGAGCATGCAAAGTCTATTCTGAGTTTTTTGGTGTTAGCTTAAATCTCACATACTCTGCCACTGCTTTCCCTAGCTCCTTGAAGGATCAAGCCTGTCCTCGTTCTTGAATCAATTCTCAAAGAGGCAGATTGTCTCCATTAACTATTCTTCCTCTGTTTCTGAATTTTAGCCCATTTGCCAGATACTCTGTTTCCCTTCTACTAGTCTCCTTCTCAGGGCCTTCCCCCTAGAGGTCCAGTCAGGAGGATTGGAGTTTCCTGACCTATCTGGACTGACCTTTTGGAACTATTTCTGACATCAACAGACAAAACAGAACTACTGGGTTAGCTTCTCTCTTTTTAGTCACCCTGTTCAGGGGGATTCCTTTACAATCAAAACAAGGAAAAAAGAGAACTCTTCATTTTTAATCCTTTTTTATTTCTGCTAATGGTGCTACACAGTTACTTGAACTGAAAACATTAAGTAACTTTGATTTTTCATCCTTTTCTTTTGCATCCCACACTCAATCAATGCCAAATTGTAATGATTAAGTATCTTCACAGAGTCTCTCACATTTGCCTACTTTTCATTCCCAATGCCTCTGCCCTTTTCAAGACTTGTAAGAATTGTTTCATATTCATGATATTTCAGAATTGGGAGAAAGTATAAATATTACCTAGATCAACCATCCATTTTGTGCTTGAATTTTCACTTCCAATATTCCCATCAGGTGGTTTTTCCAACCTCAGTACTTCTTGAGTAGTAGCCCATTAGCTTTCAGAGGATACCGTTAGAAAGTTTTTCTTGTAAGACACATGTGCATCTAATCATTTGAAACAAAAAGTAATTGTAATATTTAGAGTAAAAGTAGTTAAATATGGAAATAACAAAGGGCAAATGCATTAAATAGAGCCCTTTTTGTATTTATGAAAATGATATAATTCTTTCTGCAGTAATACCACACACCTGAATTATAGGTTCTGTTTCGAAATATGAGAATAGTAGTGCTAATCAGACTGGTGAAAATTAATTCTCATGAATATAAGTGTCTTTAATAATTTTAATGAAAACAGACTAATGTCCTAAAATGGACGACTGCCTTGCATAATCTCATCTAAGGATTCTGTTGCATTTATTAGTTGTTTTTCTTTATTACTGAGCATAGGTTATATGTGATATATGGTACCATGTATACACACATGATTATAATTGTGTAACATGAATTAAAAGATAGTGTAAGATCAAACACTTCTAAGGCATGGGATTTAGTCTTGAAATACACACCTCATAGGATTTATCAGATTTCTATTTATAGTCTGTCACCATGTTATACAAAACCCTGAAGTCTCTTGGAGAACTTCTCAAATAAAATTTCAACGGATTCTCCAGATGCCTATGAAGTCAAAGGTTTATAGTTCCTTGTGTGCCATTTACACTTAGTTACCACTGGTTACCTTATGATGGACTTC